CGTCATGGCTGAAGGGCAAGGAGGAGCGCGAGGGCGCGGCGGGGCCCGGCGCGGCGGGACCGGGCGCGGGGGGCGCGGGGGGCGCCAGCCCCGAGAAGAGCCACAGCGCGCAGGAGCACAAGGAGCAGGGAAACCGGCTCTTCGGCGGCCGCAAGTACCCCGAAGCCGCCGCCTGCTACGGCCGCGCCATCGTGAGTCCCACCGGGACGGGATCAGCGGGGAGGGGACGCACCGCCCCCCTCCCCACGGGCCTGGCCCGGGTACCCCCGGGATGGGCCCTCAGGGGTGGGTCACCCCGGCCTGGATGGTCCCAGGACGGGATCCATCGGGGACAGGACACACCAACCTCCCCCCTGGTCCGGGCCTGGCCTGGACACCCCCGGGACGGGCCCTGCCCTGGCCTCCATAACCCCAGGATGAAACGTCCCTTGGTCTGGGCACCCTCCCGGTCCTGGCTTGGCTGAGCCCGGGACAGGACCCTCGGGGATGGGACACCCCCACAAGGGGCCTGGCCGTGACACCCCCAAGATGGGACTCCCCTTCCCCCCCAGCCTGGACACCTCCCCAGCCCTGGCCTCGATACCCCCGGGATAGAATCTCCTTGGTCTGGACAATGTTTTTTCCTGGCCCTGGTCTGGATACCTTTAGGATGGGACCCCCTTAGTCTGGACACTGTCCCCTCCTGACCTAGACCACCTCCCTGGGCACGGACACCTCCCAGCCCAGCCTGTCCCCCCACTGTCTCTGAGCTGGACCCTCCTCCACTCACCCCCAGGGTGCCCCCACCCTGAGCCTGTCCCCCCAAAACCCTGCCCTGTCGCCAGGCCGTGCTGGGTAGGGCAGACCCCCCCTGGGGTGCTCCAGCCCCCCCAGCTGGTGAGGACTGTCCCCTCTGGAGGCAGGGACACAGGTTGCCCTATGGGGACCGGCCCAGCCTGTCCCCAATCCATCCTGGCACCTCCCCACGGGTTGCACGCCCGCGCTGGCACTGCCGGCTGTCCCTGCCCGGGTGACAGTGTCACCGAGTGCCCCGGCTGTCCCTGCCATCCCCCCGTGACATGGGGCTGTCCCCGCAGAACCGGAACCCCCTGGTGGCCGTGTACTACACCAACCGGGCCCTGTGCTACCTGAAGATGCAGCAGCACGACAAGGCCCTGGCGGATTGCAAGCGGGCGCTGGAGCTGGACGGGCAGTCGGTGAAGGCCCATTTCTTCCTGGGCCAGTGCCAGCTGGAGATGGAGAACTACGACGAGGCCATTGCCAACCTGCAGAGAGGTGAGCGGGCACAGCGGCCCCCCCGCCTGCGGGAAAGGGCCGAGGGTGGTGCCAGGGACCCGGTGCTGGCTCTGACGTGGCCCTGCTCTCCCCAGCCTACAACCTGGCCAAGGAGCAGCGGCTGAACTTCGGGGACGACATTCCCAGCGCCCTGCGCATCGCCAAGAAGAAACGCTGGAACAGCATCGAGGAGAAGCGGATCAACCAGGAGAACGAGCTGCACTCCCACCTGACCAAGCTGATCATGGCGGAGAAGGAGAGGTAACAGGGCACAGGGGACCAGTAAAGGCTTTTTGAGTGTCACCACGCTGTCAAAGCTCTGTGTGAGGTGCCTCTGCCCTCCAGGACAGCAGGGAAGGGAGCGGCAGTGTCCCTCCATCCTCCTGCTCTGCTCTGTCCCAGGGAGCTGGCCGAGTGCCGGAAGACCCAGCAAGAAGAAAACACGGACGAGAGCCGGAGCCGAGTTCAGCTGGCCACCATCGAGGCCAAGCACGTGAGTGGGGGCTTCCTCGTCCCATCCTCATGCTCATCCCCAGGCTCTTCTGTAGCCAGGGAAGCCAGGGCTGCAGCTGTGCAGATGAAAGCCAAGAGACCCCAGGACAGAGCACAGCTCCTCAGCCTTCATTCTGTGGCTGGTGCTTTTGTGTCCCCCTGCTCTGTCACCTCTTGTCCCAGCCCAGCAGTAGTGATGCCTGCTGGGCCTGTTGCTCCCTGAGGGAACAGAAGTGGCTCTTGGCCACATGTGGGTCTGGGTGCTGGGGACTAATCCCTGATAAAAATAGCCCCACGAAGGAAGGTTATTTTTAAGCTGGATCACTCCTGCCAGGTTCAGTTGGGAGCTGCACGGGCAGAGGGGCCGAGGAGCTGCTCCCATGGGTGGGAGGCTTGGGGACTCTCCCTGGGGTAGCCCATTTGTGCTGGGGTGTCCTTGTCCTGAAGGGCTTTTCTTTCAGGACAAATACCTGGCAGACATGGACGAGCTCTTCTCCCAGGTGGATGAGAAGAGGAAGGTGAGTGTGCTCGCATCTCTCCGCTGCTGTGTTCCCTGCTTCCCCCTCTGAGCCAGCACCACCTCCCAGTCCATCTTCCTGACCCAGCTGTGCCTCTCTTGAGCCAGAAGCGGGACATTCCTGACTACCTGTGCGGGAAGATCAGCTTTGAGCTGATGAGAGAGCCCTGCATCACGCCCAGTGGGATCACCTACGACAGGAAGGACATCGAGGAGCATCTCCAGGTACCACCGGGCCAAGGGCAGGGGGGTTTCCCAGCACCTTTCCTGCCTTTCTCTCCTGCCTGGGCAGGAAGGCAGCTCCCAGCTCAGGGTTGTGAAGGCTCCTTGGGTTTGTTCCCAGTTACGTGCCAGGGCAGCTCCCTGTGGAGCAGGTGCTGCCGGGCCCTGCCCAAAGCAGAGGCGGCTCTTGGCCGGGGTCTTGTGCCCTGACCTGCCCTCATCCTGCTGAGAGGCACCTTCAGAGGGGCTGTCCCTCCTTCCCCCCGGAGGCCTGGCTGCCGTGCCGGATGCCAGGGCAGATGCCAATGGTCCCTGTGGCCCAGGGCTGAGCCTGGGCATGTGGAGTAACCGGTTCCCACCCGCTCCTCCCTGCAGCGCGTGGGTCATTTCGACCCGGTGACGCGGAGTCCCCTGACCCAGGACCAGCTGATCCCCAACCTCGCCATGAAGGAGGTGATCGATGCCTTCATCTCAGAGAACGGCTGGGTGGAGGATTACTGAGGGGCTGGGGGGAATTACTGAGGGGCCTGGGGGGGCATAACTGAGGGGTTGGGGCAGTGTTGGGGTGCCCCGGCACAGCTCCCCAGGCTGGCACCATGCCTTACTTGTTCCCTGGCTGCTCCCCCTCCACTCCGGCTGCCCCAGACCCAGTGTGAGGCGAGGGCACGTCACCATCTCCCCTTCCCGTAGTGGCTGGGTGGGCACCACGGCTCCCTGGGCTCCTCTCCAGCTCCAAGACCTGCCTGGGGGTCGGGAGAAGGCTGCCTTAGCAGCAGTGGCCTCACTCTCATCTCCATGGCTCACAGAGCAGGGTCCCCCTTGGCCACGGCCGCTGGCAGTCCCCAAAGAGTGTCCTGCTCCAGGGAGTGCCACAGGGAGCTCGCTGGGATGAGCACCTGGAGCCCAGTCCCTCCCTGTGTATATAGTTGTTTCCTCCTCCTTCCACCTCCTGCCTGGCCATGGCTGGGTCCTCTTCCCTGTAAATAGCCACTTGCCAGGGTGAGACCAACTCACCCTCTGGCTTTTCCCAGGAAACAACAGCCCCAGGGCTGGAAGGGGCTGGCTCCCGCCTCCCTTCGCCTGTGGTTCCCTGCAAACAACCACCTGGGTTAAGGTTCTTACTCCTTTAATAAAATCCCTTAAAACACCACAAAAAGTAACCAACAAATCTGTATCCAACTGAGGTTCCAGCATTTTGGTCGGCCCACAGCCTGCCTGGCTTTTTGAGCACCCCCTGGAAGTTTGCCAATGTCCATTAAAAAAATATATATATATAAAAATAATTAAAAAGAATCAGCAATAAATGTGGAAAAGGAGCTGGAGTAGTTCACAGCAGTGATTTCTGGGGATATCCTGGCTTGGGAGCCAGTGGGAGGGAGGATGTAGCAACACACAATGGCTACAGTAGAACAACTTTAATCCAAGGGGGAGGAAAAAGACCAGTAAAAACCAGAACTTTCTCAGGCAGTTGGTCCCCAAACCAGTTGCCTTTCCCTGAGGGTGGCAGGAATTCCTGCCGTGTCCAGGATGATGGTGACACATCCTTGTCCTTCCTGGCTCTACCCAAGGAAGGTGGAGATGAAGACACTGGTGTCCAGGTTGAGCGTCGCGTGCCACCAGCGGTCAGGGAAGTACAGGACCTGTGGGAGGGAGCACGGGGGGCCCCGTGGCTCTAGTTGGGCTGTGTGGGATCCCCTCCATCCTCCTGGGGTGTCCCGGGTGCTGACTCACCTCCCCGGGGCGCAGGGTGCACTCGAGTGGGCGCTGGGCGGGGGGCAGCGTGGGGTACGTGTGCTGGAGCCAGGCCAGCGTCGTCTCGTTGGGGTGGAAGTGGGGGGTTTTATCCGGGGGGTACAGGAACCAGCGCTGGAAAACACCAAGGGGGCACCCCCCCCCGATTTCCCCTCCAGCCCCTCAGGCTCAGCACCATCAGGGCTTCCCCGTGTTCAGGGACACCTGTTGGGGGGCTTGTTGCTCTCCCTCGCCCCTCCAAATCCTTCCCTCAGGGCTCAGTTCTCACCTTCCTGCCAAAAATCACCTCGGAGAAACCGGGGCCGTGCCAGTGAAATGGAACACCGGAGCCTGAGCCTGCGGTGGAACGGGGGGTTGGTGCTGGGGAGACCCCCGATTTCCCCCCCCGATCTGCCCCGTGCCCACCTGCGATCCCGAAGCTGTAGGCAGGGCTGGTGCCCGGGATGCGGAAGGGAGGGGGCACGTAATGTTGGAACAGGGGGCCCCACTCGGTGAAGTTGTTGTCCCCGAAGAAGTACAGGGTGTCTGGGGGAACACGGGAGGCTGAGCCCGGTGAGGAGCGGGGGGTTCCGGGGGGGCCGGGACGGTGCTACACCCACCACTGCCCAGCCGGGCCGGGTCCTGCGGCTGCAGCAGCCGCTCCACGTACTCCTGGAACGGCACATCCACTGCGGGAACGGGAACGGTGAGCGGGGAGCAGTGAGCGGTGAGCGGGGGCAGCGGCCGGGCGCGGCCCCCCCCTCACCTTTGCGGTACGAGTAGGTGTTGGCCGTGCTGAGCCGCACCGGGAGCGGCCCGAACGCCGCCAGCAGCTTCTCCCGGGTGCACAGGGCTCGGAACGCCTGGGGATGGAGCACAGGGCCGGGATGGCACGGGGGGTATGTGACCTCCCCGGAGTCTCCCCGGACCCTCCCGGCACTCACCGAGTTGTCCGTGACCCCGCCGAGGATCACCGGCCGGGAGAAGGCGAACCTGGGGGAGCATCCAGCGGGGTCTCGCCCGGGCGACACACCGGGACCGGCCCCGACACATCCCCGGGGCACCGGGACCGGCCCCGACCCACCCCCGGGGGTACCGGGACCGGCCCTGACACATCCCCGGGGGTACCGGGACCGGCCCCGACCCACCCCCGGGGGTACCGGGACCGGCCCTGACACATCCCCGGGACACCGGACCGGCTTCAATCCAGCCCTGGGGGTACCGGGACCAACCCCGACACATCCCTGGGGCACTGGGACTAGCCCTAAACCGGCACCAGGACCGGCTCTAAACCACTCCCGGGGCACCGGGACCGGCTCCAACCACCTTCCCCCCGGGTCCTCGCCCCTCCAACCCTCCCGCTCCCTCCCCGTTATCCCGCCCGGTGCACCGGGCGCTGTTCCCGCCCCCGCCCCGGGACCCATGTCTCGGTCCAGCGGGGCCGTGCCGGGCCCCCCGTTACCGCTGCAGGAAGAGGGAGTATGTGAGGGAGGCATCGACCCGCTCCACGGTGCAGCGCTCCTCCTCCGGCACCGAGCCCGCCAGCCTGCAGCGGGAGGCTGCGCTCGGCACCGGCACCGGGACCGGCCCAGCGCAGCCCCCCCGCGCTCCCCATGCTCCGGCCTGGCCCGGGGCAGCCCCCCCGCGCTCACCATCCGCCGCCCGGCGGGGCGGTGCCCTGGACGGGCCGGGCCCAGCGCAGCAGCAGCTGGAGCAGCGGGAGCAGCCGCGCCGCCATCGCCACCGGGACTACGGCCCCCAGCATGCACCGCGCGTACATCCGCCTGCTGAGGGCCGCGGCTTAAAGGGGCAACATGAAATGGGCTCCACCTCACGGCTTAAAGGGGCAACAGCAATGTGGGGCCCATATCAAGGCTTAAAGGGGCCTCCCCGCATAAGGGGGTAACAACAAAGTGGGGTCCCCCAGGCCTCCGAGGCACCGACCCCCGGCCCGAAACGGGGTCCAGCCCCACCCCGGGGTCTTCTGCATCCAGGTGAAGTGAAGACAAGAGTCATGGCTCGGTTCAGCTGCTGGTTTGTTTTAATCCAGTACAAAACGGCTGGGCGGGGGGGCACCCCCAGCCCTTATTTACACAATAAATACAGGGAGGGAGGTGCGGGGGGTACCAGGCAGGAGACCCTGCCTGCCCTGCCCATCCCCTGCCCGCCATCATCCCCCGTGGGGCTTAGGGCTCAGGTGTACTCGCAGAGGTGGCCGCAGCCAGCAGGGCAGTGGGAGCTGGTCTCCAGCCACTTCATGATGTGCTGGAGGTGGCCCCCGTGGCTGCAGCCCTGGCACCACACGAAGAGCCCCTTCACCACGTGGTGACACACGGCACACATGCTGGCACACTGCCGACACCTGCACCAGAGAAACGGAGGAGCGTGGGCAGGGAGAGCCCTGGGGGGCACCAAGGGGGAACACGGGCACCCACCCCATCCTCCTGCCCCTGCAGAGCCCCTGGGACCCCCTTGCTGAGCTGTCCCCAGCTCTGTGCCCGCTCTGTGCCCTCACCTGTCGCAGATCCAGCCCCTGTTGCTCATGGGCCGCTTGCAGTTGCTGCAGTTGACATGGAGGGTGGTGGAAGCCTGGTTGAGGCAGTTGATGGCACGGCACGTGCTCAGTTTGATCACCTCGTTGGAGATGTTCCAGAGCTGGAAGCGCTGCAGCAGGTCGATGTAGGACGTGTACCAGTGTTCCTGGGAGGGCCACAGATGGCAGAGCCTCAACATCCACCCTGAAACCCCCTTGGGATCCCTGCCCTGCCTCCCAAAGGCAAGATCCATGCTTGGGTCACAGCTCCCTGCAGCGCTCCCAACTTGGGGCAGAGGAGCTGGTCGAAAAGGTCCTGGGGGTCAACAGTGGCTCAATATGGAGCCCAGGTGGACAAGGTGGCCAATGATGCCTGGGCTGTACCAGCCATGGTGTGGCCACAGGACCAGGGCAGTGATCATCCCTGTGCTGGCACTGCTGGGGCACCTCCAGCCCTGGGGGCAGTTCTGGGACCCTCAGGCAAGAGAGAGATTGAGGGGTTGGAGTGTGTCCAGGGAAGGGAATGGAGCGGGGGAAGGGTCTGGAGCAGCAGGAGCAGCTGAGGGAGCTGGGGGGGCTCAGCTTGGAGAAAAGGAGGCTCAGGGGGAACCTTCTGGCTCTGCAACTCCCTGACAGGAGGGGGGAGCTGTGGAGCAGGGGGGGTCGGGCTCTGCTCCCAGGGGACAAGGGACAGGACAAGAGGAAACAGCCTCAAGTTGTGCCAGGGAAGATTTAGGCTGGATATTGGGAAAATGTCTTTCCTGAAAGGGTGGTCAGGCATTGGCACAGCTGCCCAGGGCAGTGGTGGAGTCACCATCCCTGGAGGAATTTAAAAGCTGTGTGGATGTGGCACTTGGGGACATGGGTTAGTGGTGGCCTTCGCAGTGCTGAGGAAATGACTGGACTTGATGATTTTAGAAGGCTTTTCCAACCTAAAGGATTCCATGAGTCTAAGATCCCTGTGGTGGGAGAACAGCTCTGCAACACTGGGGAACAGCATCCTCCCCCAAATCAACAGGCCACAGCCACTCCCCCACCCTGGCCTTGCAGACACCACCTCAAGCCCCTGGTACCAGCAGTCCTGGAGCTGCCCACCCCAGTTAGAGCAGACCTGGCAGGGACTGGAGGAGAAGGGAGGTTCCCAGAGTGCAGGAGGGATTCTCAGGGCATTGGGAAACGCCCCCTGTGGGTCCCACCAAGGTGTCCCCTGCCCCCCAGGGGGTCCCACCTGTGTCTGCTCGTCGATCTCCTTGCGGATGCGCTCCCCCAGCACGATGAGCACGGACACGGCCGTCTGCACGTCCCCCTGCTCGGCGTAGAACAGCAGCGTGTCCCGCACGATGGGGCTGAAGAAGTCGGAGGGCAGGCGGTTCTCGTAGAGCGAGTGGGAGATGGAGATCAGGGAGAAGGACTCCACGGGCGTCAGTGACACCGTCTCGGCCTCGTTGCCGCTGACGTGGGGGGAGTCAGCCTTGTCCTGCAGGTGGTCCAAGGCTGAGGGGTTGTCCACGATTTCGTGGCGCAGGGGGAAGGCTTCCTGGGGAAGGCTGTATTCCTGCTCTTCAGCTGTGAGGAGATAGCAGGAATGAGCAGGGAAAGCCAGGAGAAAATCCAGCCGCACATCTGGGACAGGGAGCACCCCCCAGCACCAGCCATGCGCTCACCATGTGGGTTCTCGTGGTCCATCATGTACAGGTCATCCTCATCTGCCTCCACGTCTCCCAGCAGGTAATCCGCAGGGACATCGCTGCCCTCCGTCTCCTCGTTGTCTGCGTGCCCAGGGAGAGAGAAATCAGCTCATCCCATGGTTGGGTCCACCTCCCCGTTTCCTCCAGTGTGCCAGGCTGTGCCAGCCCAGCTCCCCACCACATCACATTCCTGGCACCCCCAGCCACCACTGTCACTGTCACTCCAGACCACGGGGGTAAACTGTCCTTCTGCACCTCCCTGGGGCTTGGTGTCCTTTGCCTGGGGCTGCAGCAGGTCCAGCCACCCCAATTTGCAGGATAAATGCACCAGTTCATCCCACATCTACAGCTAAGGAGGGAAGAGCTGTAGGAGGGGGACTGTTCTCCCCAGGAATGTTACCCTCGTTGTTGATCAGGGTGGAGGAGGAGTCCATGAGGATGTTTTCTGTGCGGCTTTCTCCTTTGCTGCGGTCCAGTCTGGACTCGCTGCCCAGCCCAGAGGGGATGTCCTTCAGGTTAAAGCTGGGGAAAAAAAGCCACATTTAATAGGTCATGGAGGTTTAAAGGTTCCATTCCATCCAACAAATGGCCTGGATAGAGGTGTCCAGTTGCAGTTGGAATGGTGAAACATGGGAGAAGGTGATTTCCCTGAGAGCAGAAGTCACTTGTCCCCACTGTGTGACTTAAAAACAAAGACGTTGCAATTGTGGTCACAGCCCTTCCTCCAAGCCTGGTGTCACTGCACACGCACTGCAAAGGTCCTTCTGAAGAATTTCAGTGCTGAGCAGACCCTCTGCTCTACCTCCTTCCCCTCAGAGGCAGGTGAACAGGAGCTGCCTCGCTCCAGGGTGCTAGGCTGTTTGTTATTCACCATCATGCTCAGCTTTCACTGATGGAAAAGGGAAGGGATGGGGCTGGAGCAGAGCCCAGCAGTGTTTCAGTCAGTGGCAGAGCAACCCAGCTGGAGGCAGAGCTTGGTCAAGGACAGTGCTTGTTTCTTTTGATGTTATTTGAGGACCTGTCACTCACTGTGGGAACATGGCCCTGAGAGGTCTGACAGCTAATTTGGAGTCCGCACCCCTCACGTTTATGTCATTGAGAAGAGGAAAAACAAGTTTTCCTGCTTCATCAGCCCACAATGGGGCTCTCACAGATCTGGGCTGTGATCTCCCTTGGAAAGTCAGAAGAAAACCTCTGCACACTCCCAGCCCCAGCTCCAGCCATGAGACACCTTCTCCACCCCCAGCCCTTGGTCACCATCCCCGTGCTGGCACTGCTGAGGCATCTCCAGTGCTGGGGCAGTTCTGGGCCTCTCTCAACAAGGACACTGAGAGGCTGGAGCGTGTCCAGAGAGGGGAACAGAGCTGGAGAAGGGTCTGGAGCACCAGGAGCAGCTGAGGGAGCTGGGGGGGCTCAGCCTGGAAAAAAAGAGGCTCAGGGGGGACCTTCTCGCTCTCTGCAACTCTCTGACAGGAGGGGGGAACTGGGGGGGTTGGGCTCTGCTCCCAGGGAACAAGGGACAGGAGGAGAGAAAACGGCCTCAAGCTGTGCCAGGGAAGGTTTAGATTGGATATTGGAGAAATTCCTTCATGGAAGGGTGGTCAGGCACTGGCACAGCGGCCCAGGGCAGTGGTGGAGTCACCATCCCTGGAAGTGTTCAAAAAATGTTTAGATGTGGTGCTTAGGGGACACGGGTTATTGGTGGCCTTAGGTTGACAGTTGGACTCGATCTTAGGGGAACCCAAATGACTCATGAATTCAGTGACTGCAGAGCTGGTGCCAGTCCCACACCCCACCACAGCTCCAAACTCTGGCTCCAGGAGGGAAGGGAGCAGCACATGAGGCTGCACGGCTCAAGGTCAGGCTGGACACTCACTTCTCACACCCACATGGGAAATGGCTTTGTCCAAAGGATCCCAATCTGCAAACCAGCATGGCCTGAGGCTAGGGAGAGCTGTCCCTGCTCCCACCCTGTGACTGGGACGGGTCAGATGTCAGGAAGAAATTCTTCCCTGTGAGGTTGGTCAGGCCCTGGCACAGGCTGCCCAGAGCAGCTGTGGCTGCCCCATCCCTGGAAGTGTCCAAGGCCAGGTTGGACGGGGCTTGGAGCAACCTGGGTTAGCGGAAGGTGTCCCTGCCCATGGCAGGGGGGCAGAATGAGATGAGCTTTAAGGTCCCTTCCAATCCAAACCACTGTGACTCAATGATTCCAGGACTCCATCCCAAAGGAGCCACGTCCGCTCTCCCACTCATGGAGCTGCCCCAGCCATGACATCCCTCAGTGCAGCTCCAACCCCCCGTACCTGTTCATGAGCGGGAGGGCAGCGCTGCCTTTGCCCATGCTGTGGTTGAGGTTGGCGGACGACACGGTGCCGAGGCTGGAATAGATAATCCGCAGCATCGTCCATGTTTGAGCCACCTGCGTGGGAGACAGCCAGTGCCAGACCTTGCCAGGCTGCAAACCAGGCCCTGCCCTGCCCTCCCCATCCCACATCTCACCTGGTTGCGGTCCAGGCCCTTGGCCACCTTGGCGTTGTGGTCGCAGAGCTCGGCCAGGGGCCGGCCGGCCAGCGCGTACTGCTTGGCCGTGTGCACGAACCAGTCCATGCTGCCGCTCTCCACGTCCGTCTCGAACACGCTGAGGGCGCTGGAGGATGAGATGTACTCGAACTGCTCCGTGGGGTCCAGCTTGCGCTTGAAGAAGATGGGGTGGCGCCGGTCCCCGATGTAGGGCTTGCGGTTGGAGTCGGAGGAGATGAGGCTCTCCTTGGCAGCGAAGGCCAGGTCTCCGTACAGGCTGTAGCACAGCCCCTCGGGGTTGGCCCGGTCGATGGGCTGGCTGGCGTCCTTGAAGATGTGCTGGTAAAGGGTGCTGTCCTTGGAGCCCGACAGCAGGAAATAGGGGTCGTGGAGGTGCCGCCACACGATGCCCGTGGTGACGTCCTTGTGCTCCTCGAACATGGCGGAGGGGATGAAGGGGCGGCGCACGTCCCACACGTAGATGTTGTGGTCCACCATCATGGAGCAGGTGGCGATGTGGTGCTTGCACTCGGGGCGCCACTTCACCCGCGCCACCGAGGCGATGGTCTGCACGCAGTAAATCTCCTTCGCCCGCGTCGTGTTCATGTCCCACACCTTCACCATCTTGTCCCGGCCGCCCGTGGCCAGCCAGCCCCTGGGAGAAGGATGGAGGAAGATGGGGAGATGGCAGCGTGCATCTGTGCCCCTTCCCCTCTCCCACCCTGGCACAGAAACACTCACAGCACAGACCAAACACATCCAGGCCACGGGGAGGCAGCCGGCCTGCAACTGCATCCTCCCAAGTGCTCCACTGACACCTCCTCTCTCCAGCAACCAGGTCAGGCAACACCCTTCTTCCTGCCCCCACTTAGGGCCCTGCACCTTTAGAGCCACACTCCCAGTCAGACCAGTTCCCTCTACCTCTGGTTTCCTCTCGCCAGGTACAGCAGAGAGGAAAAAGGCCACTCTGAACATATTTCAGTGCCTCCCTAAGCTCGTGAGGAGTTGCAGCACTGCCTGGCAGGGAGTGAGGAGGGACCTGCACACCACAGCAGCTGCTTCCAGACCCTTCCCAATCATCCCCCAGGAAAGGCAGGAGGCAAATGTGACCAAACGCAGCTGAGTCATGTCACAGAACACACACCCTCGGCGTACCCTGGCTCCCCTGCTTGCTATACCTGACCATTAGTAACTCAGTGCCTCAAAATCCCCTAATTTGTCAAAGAAAGCCCCTAAAACACCCCAACATGGTGTTGGATTTGAGGCCTCAAATCCTCAAAGCAACAATTGCTCCCACCTTCCAGCAACATCCCAGCCCCTGACACAGTGACCAAGATACCAGAGATGCTGATCTCTCCCCTGAAAGTTGCAAGCCCTGTTTTTAGGGCCTCCCTCATCCCTGCGAGACCAGGTGGCTGCCAGGGCTCAGCCCACCCCCACCTGTCCTCCAGGTGCCAGTCGCAGCAGAAGACGGGCCCGTTGTGGGCCGTGAACATCCTCTCGTAGCGGTCAGGCCGACGGATGTCCCACAGCTGCACGTTCCCGTTCTCGAAGGTGGCGGCGAAGGTGAAATAGTCCCGGATGCTGAACTGCACATCACGCACGCTCTCCGACTGGCCTGAGGGACAGAAGGTGAGATCCGGTGGGACAGAGCTCCAGCAGAGCTAAAAACCTCACTGGAGGAGCCCTGAGGGTCCCCGGTTCAGAGGGAAGGGGAGGCAGGGAGTGATGTGACCACCTTCCATCTCCATCCACTGCTGAGAGGGACAGAAAAGCACCAAAACGCCTCTCAGCTCCCTCCCTCCCCGCTTTGGGCATCACATCCTGACCCTGAGCAAACCTTCCTCCCGGGCATGGGGAAAGGGCAAAAGCCCTCAAGGGCAAAGCAGGGAAAGAGGACAAGCAAAGGAAGGGTGAAGCCCTCAACCCCTGCCTCCCCCAGGGAGCAGGGGAACCGGCAGCCGTGTCTGTACCAGAGAAGGTGCTGACAGAGTCCTTCTTGCGCAGGTCGAAGCACTTCATGTACCCGTCCTGGGAGCCGCTGAGCAGCATGTACACCTCGGTGGGGTGGAAGCACACCTTGTTCACCGTGCGCTTGTGCTCCGTGAACAGCTGGTCCTGCTTGTTGCGGGACGGCTTGCCGAGGTTCCAGGTGACCACCACACCGTTGGTGGCGGCCGTGGCCAGCAGGTTCTCGTCCATCTGGTGCCACACCACGTCGGCGCAGCTGAAGTTCAGGGAGGGCTTGCGGCCCACGCGCAGGTTCAGCTTCTCCACGAACTGCTCCTCCTCGATGGAGTAGATCTTGAAGATGTTGCGTCCGGCCACCACGACCTGTGCGGCGTCACGGCACACGCTGATGGCATTGGCGGGGGCGTCCAGGTGGCAGAACATGGTGCGGCCGCTCAGGGTGTTGCCCCCCAGGGCCGTGGTGACCCTGGCCATCTTCTCCATGGCTGTTCTCGGGGCACTGTCCCCTCTCCAGGGGCAGGCTCGCAGGTTCGTGTCCCCACAGGCCGCCTGCTCCCCCTCAGCCAGAGCTGGGCAGGGCCAGGCGGGGCTCCCGCAGCTCCTGCCGGGCCCTGGCGGCTCCACCCGCGGCTTTGTCTGGCTGCATTAACGGGCTGTGGGGGTGAGAGGCACAGAGCTGCCGTGGGGAGGGAGATACAGCCTGGGCTGGGCTCTCCTCTGCTGCCTTCTGTGACTCCCTCTCAGGGAGCTCCTGAAAACCTCTCCTGGGTTCCTTCTTCCCTCTTCAGTTACACTCGGAGGCGTTTCAGTGGTGAGAGCAGCTGTTGCTGACGGTAGAGGTTGACTGCAGCGCTGTGGGCCGAGGTGAGCAGTGTCATCAGCACAAAGTGGGGTGAAGTGAGGGACAGGCACCTCCACGGGGCACTGCCTGCACCCCAAACCCTGCAGGAACCAGGGCTTCACCCTCCTTCTCTAGCAGAAGGGGCCCAGCAGCTACTCTGCGGGTGCCCCGGGGCCAGC